AAGAAACAGAGAGGCAAGGACCAGGCAAAGGAGCAAAATAAATATCAGACACTGACCATATAGACACAGACATCTATGAGTTACTTGACAAATAATTCAAAATAAATGCCACAAAATGCTCAACAAGCTCAGGAAAATGGTGCATGAACAAAATGAGAGCATCAGCAGAGATAGAAAATCTTAAAAGAACCAAATAAAAATTCTGGAGCTATGAAATGCAATCACTGAATAGAACAGTTTACTAGAAAGGTTCAATAGCAGTCCTGATGAAGAAGAAGAAGGAATCAAAAACTCAAAGACAGGTCATTTGAAATTACCAAGTCAGAATAACAAAGAGAAGAAAGAATGAAGAAGAGTAAGGGAATTATGGGAGGCCATCAAGCCAACCTATAGAAACATAATCAGAGAAAGAGAAAGTAGGAAGATAGGAAGAATAAAATGACCCCAAACTTCCCAAATATAGGTAAGAAAGTGGCTTCCTGAATCTAGATGTTTTATGGACCCCAACAAGGAGAACCTCAAAAGACTACATCTAGACATACTATAATCACATTTTCAGATGGCAAAGACAGAGAATTTTGGACACAAGAGAAAAGTAACTTGTCACAGGTAAGGGGACCTCTATGACCATTGGTGGACTTCTCAGCAGGAACTTGTAGGCCAGAGGATGATACATTCAGAGTAGTAAAAGAAACTGCAAACTGAGAATACTGTATACAGCAAAACTGTTCCTCAAAAATGAAGACTGTCTGAGATAAACAAAAGCTGAAGAAGTTCATCACCACTCAATGTGGTTTGTCTTACAAGAAATGATAAAGGGAGTTTTCTCTGTGCTGAAAATATAGGGGTACTACTTGCCATACAAAACACATGAAAATACAAAGCTTACCAGACAAGGTAAAGACACAGACAAATATGGGATATGAATTAGTGATGAGTAAATCACTTAAACTGTGTTTTAGAATTTAAGATGAGTATAAAAATAAACCTCACTATTAAAATATGTTAATAAATGTACAAAATAAAAGATTTCTGATATTGATAACAAAGTGTAGGGGGTAATGAAGTAAAAGAATTTTTGTACTTGATTGAATTTATCCACATAAATAGATTATTATAAATATGTTTTATTTAAGTCCAATGGCAACCACAAAGATAATGCTTATAGAAGATACGCAAAAGAAAATGAAAAGGAGTCAATGAATGTCACTCCAAGAGATGAACAAAACAGAAGATAGGAAGAGAGGAAAAGAGTGACAAAGTGCCAAGGCAGACAAAATGAACAAAGTGATTTTGTACAAAGCAGTAATTACTCTAAATATAAATGGATAAAAGTGCTTGATCAAAAGACAGAGTGGCTGAGTGAATTTAAAATAAAAAAGATTGAACAGAATACTTCTTACAGAAGATCATTTTAGATTTAAGAATGCATGTGGGCTGAAAGAGCAAAAGGAGGGAAAAAGATATTCTAAGAATTGGTCTTTCTTCAAGGTCAACACAATTGACAGACCCTTAGCTAGACTAAGGAAAAAAGGAGGGGGAAAGCAAAGTGCTTATAATTATATCATATAAAATGGACTTTAAATAAAAAACTGTCACAAAAGCAGTGGAGGGGGTGAATTCAAGTATGATATATTTGATACATTGTAAGAACATTTGTAAATGCTACAGTGTACCATCACCCAGCACAACAATAAAATAAAAACTGTCACAAAAACCCAAAGGACGTTCTATAATGATAAAATGGTTAATCCACCAGGAAGATATAACATTTATAGATATATAACACCCAATCTCAGAGCCAAATATTTGAAGCAAACTTTGATAGGATTGAAAGGAGAAAGCAACTCAACAATAGATTTCAGTACTTCACTTTCAAAAATTGATACAAGACTGAAGAACCATAAGGAAACAATAAGAGCACCATAGACCAAATGGATGTAAACAGACACATACATTCAACCCTAAAATAATTGAACCCAGGATTTTAAAGTGGTATTTTCATTCCCATGTTTATTGCAGCATTATGCACAATAGCCAAGATTTAGAAACAGCCTAACTTTCCATCAGCAGGTTGATTGGATAAAAAAGTAGTGTATACATAGAGTAGAATATTAATCATTAAAAAAAAGGAAGGAAATATTGTCATCTGCTATAATCCTTGAGTACATTATGCTGACTTAGTCACAGAAGGACAGATGCTGCATGATGCATTTAAATAAGCTACTTGTAGTAGTTGAGCTCATAGGAACAGGGAGTAGAGTGGTGGTTGTCTGGGGTTAGGGTTAGGGACAAGGGGAAGTTGCCAGTGAATGTAAAGTTTCAGTCCTACAGGAAGAAAAAGTTCTGGAGATCTGATGTACATCATTGTGCTTATACTTAGCAGCAATACTGTGCTGCATACCTAAGAATATTTGAGAGCACATTTTCACATCAAGTACTTTTCACAATAATAATTTTTAAGATAGAATTAAGCTCTTGAATCCATGAGGGAAAATAAAAATTAACCAATAGCATTTGGGACATATAATTTTATATTCATTGTGTTCCTACCATTTTATTTGGGCTTAAAAAGTAATCTGCTATTATTTCACAATGAAAGCGTAGGCAAATAGGAACTTAGAAGGACATGTGTAAAGATCTTGTCAGAAGTAAGTGGAGATTTTGGTCTATAGACAACCAAATATGTAAATGCTATAAGCCATAACTTTACCTCTGCCTACCCCCTTCATGGAAGGCAAGACCAAATTTAGGAAAAAACCTAAAGGTGTGAGTCCAACCACAGGTTACGCTCTCTAAACACCTACCTTGCCGACAAAATTCTTTCCTTGGTTGAGGCTGGAGATGAATTTGCTTGACTTTACCCAGCAACACACAGAATCATCTCTCTCTTAGTCTCTGACTTCCTCATGGTCTCTCTTTTGCCTTCTTTTAATTAGCAAATAGGAAAACTTGTTCTTGGAATGTTTCATGCTATCTTAAGTGAATAGCTTGACACATTCATTTGAAGAAACTTTTGTGACCACTTGTGATCTTATTATAAATTTGATTCTTGTTCCTTTCTCTTGCATACTGATATGTAGTGCATTAGGCACTGCCCTGGACAGTTCAGAATAAATCCAGCAGATTCCCAGAGCCCTTCTTTGGAATTTGCTCTCCAGGTAGTTCAGGTAGTTATTTTCATTGCCTTTTTGAGTGACTGTAGCAATTTCATCACAGTGATTTTTAAATTCCTAAACTGCAGACTTCTTAAGGGTGGGGATGTGATCTGTCTCATTCACCTCTGCATAACGAACAGACAGCAGTATTTTGAAATGAATTAATGCATGACTGAATAGCTACATAAAAATTTGGGGGTTTTCTTAATTTTTGTATTAGACTTTTAAAATCATTTGGCTTTAAATTTGGGTTCTCTAAGAAGCAAAACCCAAAAATTGAATTTTTAGAGAAAAATACTTGATTATGCTTAATTTCTTCTTCACTTACTTTTGCTTTCAAAAAAAAAAAAAAACCAAGAACTTTTTTTAAAATTTTCTTTTAAAAACTTATAAAATTCTGAACCCTTCCAGAAGAATCTTTCTCTCAGGCTAACATTAAAATGATTCAACATTAGACTGAAAAAAATCAGATTTTCCTTTTATTTTGATTAAAGCTGAGTACTTACTAAATTTTAGATCTAATTTGGTTATGTGAAAGTAGTCATTCTGAGTAGGGAAAGGAAAGATAAGGCCCTTGCAATAATTGGTTCAGGATCAAGTGACTGATGCATTGTTCTACCGTCATTCTTGCATCTTGATAGGAATAAACTTGTTATTCTCATTTGTCCAACGAGCAAGCAACTGAGCTAATGCAGTAAAAATATGTAGATATTTGTTCCTCTGTAAGTCTTATCTTCACTATATTTTGGTAAGTCTATGCATACCTAGGTGGGGAGGAAAGGTAGCTATTTAGTTTGTATTTTACCCACCCATATGTGTTAAAAACATTTATAAGGTCTGATGGTGTTGTCTACTGATAGCCTTGCCACATGAGAGAAAAGATGGCCACTGTGTGATATGTTTATAGGGGCTGATTAGGTTTACGAGGTTTAGAGAAAACTGTGCAGACCTCTCCCGGGCATGGTCATAAAGGTGGAAGTAATTGTCAGTGAAATATTCGAAGTTTTTAAAAAGATTGTGAAAGTGCTGACATATATTACTATAATTTCTTACAATGTAATATGTATTATTAGAGTAATTTTAAACAAATTGAAGTTTTATATATAAAATATTACAAATGTTTACATTAATAATAGTAAAAGTGGTAAGCAACAACTCTCTAAAACAGGAAATTTTATTTAAGTAATAAATATTAGGCCAAGAATTATGTTAGGTGCTTTTGTGTATATTACTTGATTTCTAAGTGTATAAATTCGATAAGTAATAAATACTTTAAGGTGGAGTCAAATTTCTAGAGTTGTGACTTTACCAAGGCTCCATCACTGATAAGTCTATGAGGGGGGCGATCTGTCACTAAACCACTTAGCAGATGGCGTTGCCTAAAAGATTAGAGGCAGTGAAATAATAACATGAAAATGTCCCAATGATAGGTGGAAAGCAGAGTGCAACATTGCACATCACATCTACTTAGTTAAAATAGTGTGTTTAACGAAATGATCAGAGTAGCCAGGTATGGTGCTACACACCTGTGCTCCCAGCACTAGAGAAGCAAAGAAAAGAGAATCTTGAGTCCAAGACAGCCTGGTGAGATTCTGTAGAAGGGAGGGAGGAGAGGAGGGAGGGAAAAGAAACCATAGTAAATGTTTGTATGGTGTCACTCCTTTATTTTATAAAATGTCTATAATTGTGGATTAGCTACTTTCCAGTGAAGTATCATGTAGAGTACCTTTGGCATGAATTTAGTTCATTCATTAGTACATCTAAAGCCTTAATGTCTTCAGTATGCTTTCTGAAAGTTTGCATGTTTATTTGAGCTTGTGTTCATTTCTTTTTAAATTTCAGATCATCAAGTTATTGGATGGAAAACGATCTCAGACGGTGGGAATCTTGATATCTAGTTTACACTTAGAAATGAAGGATATCCAGCAAGGTACGTCTTTTCCATCATTTCCTCCCAACTTTTAAAGTTTGTGTAGATTTTTTAGTATGCTATTATATTAATTGTACAAAACAGTTGGCTGTAGAGTGACATTTCATACATGTATATTAAGCACAGAGGGTAAACTTATCATATTTACCCTCTGTTACCCCTTTACACTACCCACCCTAACCCCCTCCTGCTCATTCCATCCCTGTTCTCTAATGTTCTTTCCAACTTTCAAATCTTCTTTCCAACTTTCAAATCTTCTAGACATTGTATGGAGAAAAATTTCAAACATGTACAAAATTAGAATGCCGTAAGTCCCATGTAAAATTCTTCTTGTAACCTAAAAAGTAAACAGAAGAAATTTTATTTGTATGTATTTTTCTTAGTTTCTGAAAAAGTGAGCCAAAAAGCCACCATACCCTTTTTAAAATTTTTGTTAGGTTTTGTTGGCAGTACTGGAGTTTGAACTCAAGGCCTTGTTATTGCTAGTCAGGCACTCTACTACTTGAACCATGTTCCTAGCCCTTTTTGCTTTAGGTTATTTTTCAGATAGGGTCTCATATTTTTGCCCGGACTGGCTTCAGACCACAATCCTCTTACTCACATCTGCGGGACAGCTAAATTACTAATGAGTGCCACCACTCTCAGCTTATATATATTTTAAAGTTATACTTTCAAATGTTTGTTGAACTTAATTTGATTTTTAAAAATGTAAATCAAACCTCAGACAGGGTAGAGTGATAATGTTATGTATTCACTGCAGTGCATGTGGGCGACACTAACAGCTGGCCAGCTGACCTTTGGCCTGCACTGAGTGCCAGCCCTGTTTCACAAACCATGCTAGCGACACTTAAGATGAGACTCTAGGCGGGTGTGGGGTCTCATGCCTACAATCCCAGCACTTGGGAGGTGGAGGCAGGAGCATCATGAGCTTGTGGCCAGTCTGAGCTACATAGTGAGTTCCAGGGCAGCCTGAGCTACAGAGCAAGAGCCTGTCTCACAAAAAAAAAAAAAAAAAAATTCAAGAGTTTACTGGATGGTGGGATGTGTGATCATCCCAAGATTACAATAGAATTACTAGGAAATATTAGAGGCAGTATATTGTAAAACCTAAGATGAATCTTAGTAGTGGCCTGTGCCTGTAATCCCAGCCACATGGGAGGCAGAGATCAGGAGGATCATAGTTTGAGTCCAACCTGGGCAAAAAGTTAGGAAAACTCAGCTCAACAAATAAGCCAGGCATGGTGGTCCACGTCTGCAACCCCAGCTATGCAGAAGACATAGGTAGGAGGATCATGATCCAGGCTGCCCCAAACAAAAAGTAAGAGACTATTTGAAAAATAAAGTAAAGCAGAAAAGGGCTGGGAGCATAACTCAAGTGGGAGAACACTTGCACAAGGTCCTGAGTTCGAGTACTGTAAAAAAAATAAATAAATGAAAGGTAAGTGAGTCTTTGAAGATGGAGTGGTGGTCACACAGGAGGACTTCTGATTGAGGAGAGAGCGTGAAAAGTGGGCTGTCCAGTGCACGTCAGTGTGAGTTGTTCTGGGATAAAAGACCCAAAACACAGGCAGCACCCAGACAGGGAAGGGCTGTGGATGTATCATCATGAGGAATCTGCACATTGGTGCATCAGTCATAGGGAGGAGAATTTAAGGGGAGCAGTATGTCTGATACTGCAGGTGGAAGACAGCCACTAAGGCCCTGCACACCCCAGCCAAACCTACATCTCTTTCTTCCCTTGTTCCCCTCTCACTGCCCTTCCTGCTATGCACAGTGGTCTTCCTTGTTCCTCCAAAAGGCCAAGTTCTGTCCTTCTCCTGTCTCTTTTAAAGCACAACACATTTCAAACGCATGGCAAAGTGAATTACCCATATAAGATACTTCTCTAATCCCCTCTCTGTATAGCTAGCTCCCTTCTTTACTGTAGGTTTCAGCTTAGATGTTAGCTTAAGGCCTTCTCAGATCTCCCTTCCCTAATGTAACTCACCCTAAGTTAATTCTTTTATTTTTTTTTACTCAGTACTTAATATTTTATTTCTGCACAGAAATAGAAGAATAGAAGCTCCAAGAGGGAGATTGCTCACTGCGATATCCCCAGCACCTTGTGTTTATGTCTGGCACATAGGCAGTGACCCTCAAGTGCCTGTTGAATGACTAAAGGAAGTAGAAGTGGAGGTGGATGAATGTGTAAGAAAGGAATTGTAACTGTTCAGATGATAACTAATGGTCAGAACTAAGGCTGCACCTGTAGAAATGTCTAGGAAATTAGGCACAACATGTGAAAAGAGTGATGGAGAAGAAACAGGGTGGTACCTTAGATTTCGCCTTCAACAAGAATGTGTGAGGTAGACCCCTTGGTATCTCTGGGCCATTGAGGAAGAACCACTGCTCAGGATGCATGGAGTCCAGTGCTGTACCGTGGTCGCTGGGTTAGCTTTTCCCATAGTGCCCTCCATGTTCCACTAATGGTGCCTTTCAACAAATCTAAAACTTTCACTTTACCACTTCAATTAGCACACACTCACATTAGCCTTGCTTTTGAGGGGTGCCATTTGCCTTTTGAGAGGGAGATTTTCACAAAGTGGAGATCAAGGGAACATTCAGCAGATCACACAGAGATTTTTAACTCAGCTCATGATAACAGAGGACTGAGAGCTTCTCCACACCCTCAGGGCTGCGTAGTGGCACATAGGAATTTAAAATTTTTGCTTTGAAGTTTCTTTTGACTCTTTTTATTTATTATTTTTTGACTGTGCTTGGTCAAAGCCACATGTAATAAATCTGTGAATAAGGAGGTGCCAAAATGCAGAAACTGGGAGTACAGTAGCAAAAGCAGCTTGAAGCGGAAAAGTCAGTTTGAGTGTGAGGTGACGGGTTATGTGTAAACCAGTGTTCAGCAAGCACCTGAAAAATCCCAGCCTGGTGCTAAGTGGTCAGGGCTAGGTGGGAGATACAACAAACTTCAAAAAGTTGTTCCCTACCCAGAGTAGTATTTGCCATCTTTCAGGACAAAGCTAAATCCTATGCTGCTTCAGTCCAGATCACTGAGTCCCTAAAGGATACTTCCAGAAGGCTGGCCAGAGTACCCAAAGAGCTTGCATTTGACCCAGAACAGACTCTGATAAATGGTTTGCTCACTGCTGGTTTTCCATCAGCTGGATGGGATGGCGTATATGTAAAAGTATTTGGCATCTGTGGATGCAAATCAGTGTTTTCATTTTGTGTTCACAAGTTCCTCTTATTCCTGTCCTAGGGGAGATGAAAAATTGCTGTTGACTCTTCTTGATATAAACCTCCCTATGCATTGCGACAGACAAGGTGCCAGAAATCTCCTGGCATTCATGTGGAATTTCCCGTACACTCAGAATCTATATTTATAATATTTAATCGAACATCAAAATAAAACATTTTTCATTTTAGTTCCTGTTGGTCCAGATCTTCAGTGTGAGAGTTCAGTGGCCTCATGGCCTATCTTTCTGTTGTGGAATGTCCATGAGAAAGGAATGCCAGCTAGTGAAATGAGCCCAGATCTGAGAACACCCATGGGACCTTGCCCCCTTTTGCCTTAATCACTCCAGAAATCTATGTCAAAGTTTACGGGACTTGTCTAAAGCATAAGGAGTTTAATCAGGCATCCAAAATCTATCATAGATTATTTAGGACTTTCCTGGAGGAAAATCTCACTTTAGACTAGAAGAACCACGCTCACAAGGCTTTTAGTCTCCAAAATTTTATAGTTCACCCCCACCAGAACAAGGTGTATTTCCTAAAACCCGTACATTATATATATGTATGACTGAGCATGCACAATATAAAACATGGAAAATGCGAATTTTTGTATTTTTTTCTTCATTTTTATTAGGATATATTAGTTGTAAAGGGGGATTCATTGTGACAATTCTGAATAGGCTTACATTGTACAGAAAATGTGAACTCTTAAAAGAATTTTTTGAGACTATTGTGAATGGGATTGCTTTCTTGTCTGCTTTTTTCAAAGTATTTCTTGTTGCTGTATTGAAAAGCCACTTATTTTGTATATTGATTTTTGTATCCTGCTACTTTGCCAAAAGTGTTTATCAGGTCTGAGAGTCTTTTAGTGGAATCTTTAGGGTCTTTTACTGATAGGATTATATCATCTGCAAAAAGGAATAGTTCTGAAATAAAAGAAGATTAATAATATTTTTAAATGTCTTGCTGATTTTTACAGCTTTCAGATTCTTGTTAGCTAATACAACTAGGATGAGATGCGACAATAACAAATCTAAACTCACATTTCAAATATTTTTCTTGATAAATTCTACTGTATTTATGGGGCTTAGCTTGTCGGCAATTCTGCTTTGACTATCCTTGTTCTTACCTTGCTCAGTGACTGATAAAGTGTCTACCATTTTTATTGTTGAAGGATTACCTCCATCCTGGGATTTCTCTACAGCAGTCTTGAGGCCAACTTGTTAATTTTCTAAAGTTTAGTGTAGTTAAAAGCAGATTTTAGAATTAGTAAAAATAAACAAAAAGAAAACCTTTATTTAAATAGTCTGCCTGAATGTGTGGTTGGCACATATGAAGGAGTTCGCCCACCCAAAGCAGCATGCAGTCATGACCGGATAACACACCAAGTCAGTCAACTTAGTATCAGAGCTCAATTTTTTAAAAATTAAACAAAATAAATATAAACCATAGCTCTAATACTTCCCTTTTCTTTCCTACCCTCCCTTCCTCCAACTGAGCCTAAAACACCTGAGCAGCAGGGCTCCACCTACCTCTTTCTGAATCACTACACACTCTGCATTCCTTCCTTCCCTGAAGAACTGAGTCCCAATGCAGAGGGTGGCTTTGCCTTCTATTTTACCTTCAGGCAACTGATTGAGACCATCCAATCTGCCTGGAATGTAATTTTGGTTTAAAAGAACCAGAACTAATGGGAGAACAGAAGCAGCTTAACCCAAACTGTTTCTCATTCCACTGCCCTCTGGAGAACAGAGGGGACACTAGAGGGACAG